TAACCATGTTCTAGAGAAGTTAGAAATCTGAAACTTGATACACATGTACCTTTTGGGATGCAGAGTTCAGAAAAAATCCAACTTTGGAGGTAAATGCCCTCGGGGCACAAATTCCAGGGGTAGATATGTTCAAATATGTCAATTTGCTTCAGTCAAGCAGATAAATATGGAAAGCTGAAACGTGACATGGATGTACCTACTGAGACACTGAGTTCAGGAAAAATGTCAAGTTTTGGATACATGCCCTGGGGCATTTTTTTTTTTTTTTAGGGGGGGGGGGGGGACGTTTTCAAATGATTTTTTTGTCCACTGAATTGTACAGAGGTAGAAATGTGAAACTTGGCACAGCAATAACTGAGGGGATGGTGAGTTCAGAAAAAATTCCAGTTTTGTGGTGCATACCCCAGGGCACAGCTTTTGACTTTGTCATCTTTTCCAAAGATATTTAGATTTTGCATCAGCAAAAAGAACACATGGATAGGGCTGAAACTTGGTATGCACGTAGTTCTCCAAGTACTAATTTCAGTAAAAAAATATTACTTTTTAGGTAAAACCCTTGAGGGCATATTTTTTTCCAAAAGGTGGATTTTCCAGAAACTTTTCTGATTCATGGAGAGAACTAAAGAAAGTTGTGACTTGGAGCAGAAGTACCTTTTTGAGACAGATTATGAAGAAATTTGAATTAAGGCACACAAGAAACAATAGGAGTAATTATTCCAATGAAAATATTGGTTTGTTCTCCCTTGATACACATTCTGAAGGGCACATACGTTTTTGCCAATTTGAAAGTAAGTTATTGAATGAATCACTATCCTGGGAATGGAGCTCCGAAGGCATGACAATAACCAATAGACAACTAGCAAGTTTGTTTGCCCTTCGGGCAAACAAACTATGTAACAACTAGCCCGAAGGGCTAGTTGTTACATTGGTTTTGTGGTAGGAAATCAAAATGGGGGAAGAGAAGAGAAAGAGCCCCTGTTATTGACTAGAGTAACAAATGGTTAATGGAACACAATAAAGGTAAATGAGAAATATGGCATTTTTGCCCAAAAAACTCTTCCCAGCATTTGTGGGGTAGATTTTTTTGAGTGAGGGAAAGGAGATGGCCTTAGGCATCATGATTGATGAGTCTCTGAATGAGAGAGCTGATTAATCTCAGTGCCGACTTTTTCTTCAGCTCTACATGGCTTGTGGTCAGCATTGTCTGAAGGGTGACTCCCAGGTATACTAACGTTCTTTCCCAGCTGATGTGGTCCTTGCCAAAAGTGAACGGTACATTGCTCCTAGAGCGACGCCCCCCTTTTCGGAATTTTATTGCCTTAGTTTTGGTCAGGTTCACATTCATTTTGTTGTCATCAGTCCAGATCTTGAGTGCTTCAATGGTCTTCTGCAGCTCTGCTCGGTACGTGGAGAACATGGCAAGGTCATCTGCATCATTATGACATGGACTAATGGGGCCACATGTTTCAGGGCTACTGGGAGGTTGCTAGCAAATATCAGGAATAGGGAAGGACTTAGGCAATTGCCTTGAAGTATGCCCTGCGTTTGGGAATTGCCTTGGAAGTTCGCAGGCCATCATTGACCTTTACATAGTTTTTCTGGAGGACATCATTGATGAGGCTGAGGATGCATCCCTTGATTCCCCTATGTTCTAGCTTGTTTATGAGAATGCTCCTGTCAACTGTGTCGAAGGCCTTCCGAAAATCGATGAAGACAACATAGAGCGATCCTCTGATCTTACTGAGCTAGTTGGCAATGGCATCAGTGAGTAGTCTTAGCTGGATGATTGAATGGCCGCTCCTGAAACCATATTGTTCCAGGGGGAAATTGATGTGATGTATTATGCAGTGTTTAATCATTCCTGTTAAGAGCTTGAAAGGTGTTGATATCATAGTAGGGATATTCCGTGGTAGTTGTCAGGATTGTCGATCCTCCCTTTCCCTTTATAAAGAGGTTTTAGCTGTGAGATATGCCAGCTTTCAGGGAGGGTAGTTGATACCAGGATGTCATTGTAGAGGTTCAACCACTCCTCTGATAGGATGTGGATCAACCCTTTCAGTTGCTCGGTCATGATGAAGTTGGGCCCAGTCCTTTTATGTCAGGCATCCTTTGAAGCATACACAGGATTTCCTCTTCAGAAAATGGTTGGTTGTACCATGCTCTGAGGTCAAGGTTTCCAGAGAGGTTCCCAGGGGCATGGATCGGTCGTGCACTGTAGGAGGGTTCAGAGTATGCGTCAGGTGGTCAACCCGTTGTTCCTGTGTGAATGGGGCAGGTGTGGAGCTTTGCTTCCTTTTGAGGATAGCCCAAGGAGTGATGTTACTTTCTTCAACCTTCCTTAGAAGCTGGGTTTCCTCATGTCAGGCTATTGCATTCCTGAGTCTTGTATTCATGTTGGACCCAGTTGTAGTCGGCCAGGGGTGCATGCTTGAATAGGGCGAATTGTAGTGCTCGCATGACTTCCTTTTTCTTTTCCCTGAACTCTCTATTGAACCATTTCTTGTAGACCTGTTTATTTGTGCTGATTTTGGGGGTAGAGTCAACAATGATGCAGGTTAATAATTTGAGTTTCTTGCTGGTGTGCATCGTGCTGAAGGTCTTTATTTGGGAGTAGTTATGGCATAAATGCATATCTTTATTTTTTTGTAGAGAGAATTTCTTGTGGTCTACCTTGAAGTCTTTCATCCCACAGTTTGTTAACTGTTGACTTAGGCCATTCATAGAGATCGTAGTAGTGTCTGGCATCCATCTGCAATGATGGATGTGAAAGGAGTGGTTTCTCTATCAGGAAAGACCTTTTCCCCACACCTTGACCCTTTTGGTATAAAATTTTGAAGGATTGTATTAAAAGTTTTTCCACCATTCATCAACCATCTTCAACTCTCAAAGAGGCATTTTTGTGGCATCACTCACATAGCTCAAGGGAAAACTGAAGGATGGAATAGTTTTAGCTACCTGCCAGCACAATAAGTGTGGCATCAGTAGTATTACTGATAATAAACTGACAAACCATTTTTGCTTTGAACCTATGCAGAAATGCATATATGCATGTCTGTAATCTCCCTCATACCAAGTGCATCTCTAAGAAATAAACAATTTTCAGTCTATATTCTCTAATGACTTCCCTCTCAGTTTTGTAATATCTCTCTTGTACTGCTCTATTGCTCCCTATTTTGTTTTTGTTTTTTAAATTCTTTTATGCCATATTCTTAAAACCCTTCTCTTATAAAGCTCTTCAAACACTGATATTTTTGGAAGGAGTGCTTTGGAAACAATTATGTACATTTCTGACTTGGCATGGATTTTTGTTCAGAGGTCAATGCAAACAGTGGTGGAGAATGCCATGAAGAAGTATTTAAGGACAAAACCTAAGCCTTCACAAGAAAGTGTGAGGAGGAGTAAGAAAGTCTCAGACATCCAGAGTCAACTTTTGCCTCAACCTCTCTTTGCCAGTCATATCAGAATTGATCGCTCTGAACAGGAGCGCCGTAATCTCCTTCTTGGAATGAGGGCATATAAGCCCAAGTCTGTGAGTGCCTCCAATTCATGATTTTCATTTGATGCAATATAGTGCTATTGTGCAACAATGTGCTATCTAACACATGTGAATCTTTATGATTCCTCTTCATGGTATTTAGACCATATTTGAGATAGGATTGAATAGAAGTAGAAGCAAAATCAGCAACACTCAACCCTTGGTCATGATGAGAGAGAAGAGACTCCAGGATGACAGTCTCATCTCTAAGTTTCAGTCTCGTCATAAATCATCTGATGACAAAGAAGATTTCTTGCATCATGCACACCCGGCAACCTCAGGTTTGTTTCTGGATGTTGCAGTCTCTGCCTTACTTTAGATATTGCAGGCAATACATGCTACTACATTATCCTTTCCCATGTTCCTTTCCCATATTTTTCTGTAGAGTTGAAGAAGAATGAGGAAGGTTTGGTAGATGGTCATGAGGAGGATTTGGAAGATTGTCATGAGGAGGATTTGGAAGAAACATTTACTGATATGATTATCTCCAAAAAGCCCAATACTTTTTTTGTGCCTCGTGTGAAGGCAAAGCGAAGGAAGAAGCCTCAGAGCTTGGATAAAGAGCACTTCATCCACTACTCTGCCCCTGACTCTCACAGTGAGCAAGGGTTAGTTTAAATAAAAATTCATCCTGTTTTCTATTTTTTTCTTTCTACACTCCAGCAAGATGAGAGTGGGAAAAATGGTTTCACTATTTCAAATGTATGGATGATAGTGCTCTGGCTGATTAGAATAAACCTACCAACATGATATTCAAAATAATCAGTTCCAGAAAAAGCTACATCAAGCAGGAGTAGAACATTCTTGAAGTTTGGTGCATAAACTCTTAGCAGTGCATCATGAAACTGATTTGAGTTTCAAGGGCATAGGATGAATATTTGCAGATAAATTTTGTCAAGCATTCTAAAATAAATATGGGGCAGAGTTCAACTAATCATTCAAAAGAAGCACCCAGAAATCCAATAATGAAATGAGAACAGGAACTCCAATGTTATGTGCAAGAGAATTGAGCTAAGGTACAAGGTCATAGGATTCAGAGAGAACTTTCAAAAACATTCAGTAGGCAAATTTATTGCAAAAAATGATTTTTTGCTACAATTGATCTATTTATTGCTGTGAGCAGTGAACATGGAGTTTTAGTTACTGTATTTTTCACTCTATGTTCAGAGTTTACAGAGGGGAATGAGTAAAAGCCCTAGGGATGTTTTAGGTACAATCTTGGCTATAATCCATGAAGTGAGTAGAGCCACAAAGGCATAGACTTGCCAGCACTGCAGGACATGTCATGAGTGAAGGTCCTTTAGATCCCTCACCATGAGTTCCAAGTAATCCTTCTGTCCTCATAAAATGAAAAAAAAGGGGAAGAATTGAAAATGGACATTTTGGGATTAATGGAATTAAGCATGAGCTATGCCTGCTTCAGAATAAAGCATTTAGCTTGGCTTGTAGTTTGATTGCATACTATGACCTGTTTGTAGGGTTGATCTCATCTACAGGGCATCTCAGTGAAGACTGACACATTTTATTTCAATGTAGTATTTATATTTGTATATAAATAACACCGAAGCACAGGCATTGGAGATATGTTGGAAAATAAATATTTTTTATTTTCAATTGTTCAATTTTTGAAAATGACAATTTCCAAATATCCTCCATGGACATTAATGCATTCTTGCGCCCTGACAACCCCCTTCTTCAGGCGCCCCCTCCTGCAAGTGTGCAATAGAGCCTGTTGCAAAAAACAGTTCCACAGTTTTCACTCCGTGAGATATTTCCAATTGATCCATGACATGAAATTCCAAATATTGAATTATCCTGTTAAGTAAAGAGATAGCTCAGAAAACAAGAATTTTTTGTATATTTTAAATGTGTCATTCCTCTCTGAGACATCCTGTACAATCCCAGCTATTGTACTGTACTATAGCTGTGGTGTTAATCCTATAAATACATAATATAAATAACGATGGCTGCATTTTGCACTCCACAGTGAAAAAAGTGAACCAAAAGCAACATGTTTGCACTGTTATTGATGTAACCTTGCATTTAGGCTGACGGGACTAGTTTGCATTTTGAAGGTTAGGTGTAGAGAGAACAGTGTTTGAAAGAGAGGCAAAGGCTGCTGTGTTGGATTTCACCATGGATGATGATGAGGCCATGCAGAGGCAAAAAAACTCCTACAAATGGGATCGCAAGCGGAAGAAGTTCATTAAAGGTGGCCAGGTAAATAGTTTTGCTAAGCTTCATATCAGAACAATGTATAGCCAAATTATGGGCAGACCACATCATCCACTCATCATCAAATTACTTTCTGCAGGAACCAAAGGGGAAGAAAATCAAGTCAGAAAGTGGGGCTTGGGTTTCTGCTAGCTACAAAGGAGATCGTTATGAGAAATGGAAAAAGCATCATAAAGTTGAACAAACTGAGGAGGATGATGATGATGAGGGAATGGAGAATCTGGGGAGAGGAAGAAACAAAGGGAGGAAGACAAGAGCCTTCACTGTCCTTGGACAAGGAGGGAGAGGTAGCTTCAGTTTGTTGTAACTTCCAGTTGCCCTATTTTGCATGTTCCGGACTGATCCTTCTATGTTTTCTTCTTCAGGAGGCCATTTGAGAGGAAGGGGAAGAGGAAGAGTAAGAGGAGAAAGAGGAGTTCAAGGTACAAGGCGGGAGCTCAAGACAATGGATGAGATTGTCAAAGGAAGAAAACTGAAAAAGAAGCGAGAAGTCCTTATGAGCAGGAGAAAGACTAAGAAGAGACAGCAAAGAAGCAGATGATCCAGTCCCTTGCACATTTGTTTTGTTGAATAAAAGCAGAACTCAGGCTTCACAAAATTCTTCAAAATGCCTTCATGGAAAAGCTACTGCTTTGTCATCAACATGAACAATGAAGATACATTAAAAGAAACCCTGGTAATATCCACAGCCAGAGATACTTACAAGGGGCGATCAGAAAGTTCAGGGACTGAATTTTTTATGATGCTGTGGTGACTCTTTCTGACTACTGATAGTTATATCCTTCAAAGTAGTCCTTTTCAGCATTGCACAAATTTTCCAGTGTGTCTTCAGCCACTGGAATAATTGCTGACGTGTCCTTTGGAATCACCAGTAGCACTCATGGCGTGTTCGTAATGCTGCTTTAAATGTCTTGAAATTTCCTTCATATTCTAGTTTCAGCAATTTCTGATTTACCTCGCAATCCCTGGGCTTCATAAGCCATCCAACTCACCAGACATAGCTCCTAGAAATTTCTTTTTGTTCCCTAAGCTAAAGAGTGTGCTGAAATGAAGGAGATTTCAGGCATTCAAAGCTTAAATGTAAATGCAACAAGAGTACTGCTTCCAAACGTTAGTGTCAGCAGTGTTTCCAGCAACTGAAGAAACAGGAAAATTTGTGTAGATGCCGAAACTTCTGTGACCTGACTTCAGCTTACTGACTAATTCTTCTTATCAGTCCTCTGGAGCATACAATCATCTTGAACTTATGTTTGATCATGTGCAGTACTTTTAACAGAACATTATATTATGGAGAACAATGTATTTCAACATGAAATCTCATCTAATGACAATATTGATGGAAATATTGCAGTCGATTAACAGATTCACTGACGAAAATTTCTGCTTGAAACGTGCATTTTCCTCAATTACGAGGAACACGTTTTTGCTGCCAATGGGCGTTTATTGTAGAAAATGCATCATGGAGGTGGGAAGGGGGGCGAAAATTCATTTCAAACATTTCTCATCTGAATGGAAAAATTCGTGCAGAATTTGTATTGCTTCGTTTCAAGTAATTACGATGAATTCGATGATTGCTGATGAATTGATGAATTAATTTTTTCAATAACTCGGCAGCCAATTGGCACCCTGTGTGGGGGCACCGCTCGCACACCCCTTGTTACGGCACTGACGGTATCAAAGAGTTCCTCGCCCCCCCCCCCCCCCCCCCCCCCCCCCCCCCCCCCCCACGGTATAAAAGAGTTCCCCCCCCCCCCCCCCCCCCCACACTTTTTTCATCCACACTATGCTTATGGATATAACCATCAGTAGTTGGAAAGAGTCACCACAGCATCATAAAAAATTCAGTCTACAGCACTTTTTGATCACTCTTCTTACTCAAGGGACATACTTGGCTTAATGTTTACACAAAAAATCAGTTTCAGGTCATTTTTTTTATATGACAATAAAATGTATTTCAAATAATGCAGTTGCACATTCCAGGGAAAACCTCTGAAATTGAAAGAATTTCAAGATCTTATAAACCAATATGATATGTGGTTGGACAATTTGCATTTTGAAAGGATCGATACATCAATCTCTAAGGCTGGATATTGGTATATGATGGAAAAAGAACCTCAGAGTGCAGCTCAGAATCACACATTGCTTTTTAGTCCATACACAGGGAAAGAACATTGGTATTTTTTTATTGTGACTAGGCATGAATCCCAAAACAAAAACAGCAAAAATGGAAATGCTTACAAATTAATTTAATTCAAGTGTTATTCATTTCTGAGCTTAAATTTCCTGTTCCCTGGGCATTTTTTGAGCTGCTATAGTCCCTTTTTTCTTCCTTTATGGATTTGCATCCAACCTTTCTCATGAGCACAAGAACATGGGGCTGATGGAGAAATTTTGTATCTTGCATATTGATGAAATACGATTTGCCGGTTTCCTTTTATAAATTATTGAATACTTTTGAATATTGCTGAAAGTATGACCCTAGGGTTGGAATAATGATTGGGAATTTCTGCCCTTGAGCCACAGCTTTGGGAAGCACTCATGGTGTAAGTTTTCTACATGAGCATAAGTGAACAAAATCTTGTATGTTTATTCCAAGAACAGAAAAGACTCTTCTGGAAAAGGTTTTACCCTGACACCTTTTTGTGACAATCACCAGGCCTCTCAAAGCTGCATAAAAGTTGCAAAGGTGTGAACTTTGGATTACTACAGCCTAGTACTATGCAATAAAAATTAGACATTTCTGGTACAAAATGAAAGCTGAAATATTGCACTCACTCAAGTCATCAGCTCAGCTATCTTTCTGGAGCAAAAAGTTATGCTACTTTAATAGGGCATTCAGGGCCGTATCTAGGATTTCATTTCGGGGGGGGGGGGGGGGGGGGGGGGGGGGGGGGGGGG